TTATGGCAAGGTACAAAGCAATACCATCTATGTCCAATGGTTATATGCAATGCAATGCCGTTAATGCGCAATGGTTGCAATCTTGTCATAATATTATAAATATTATAATGCTTTTAAGTTCTTAATAGAAGTAATCCCACAAAGTGTGAAAACATTTTTTTGTAAGCTCTTAATAAAAGTTATCCCACAAAGTGTGATAACATTTATTTGTAAGGTCTTAATAGAAGTAATCTCACAAAGTCTGATAACATATGTTATCACAATTTTTGGGAATAATGTGTGATAATGTACACTTTGTGTACAATGTGTGATAATGTACACATTAGTTACACTTTGTGGAATTAATTTGTGATAATGTGTGAAAAGTGTGATAACATATGTTATCACACTTTGTGGGGTTACTTCTATTAAGAGCTTACAAATAAGTATTTTTTTGTAAGCTCTTAATAGAAGTAACCCCACAAAGTGTGATAACAATTGTTTGTAAGCTCTTAATAGAAGTAATCCCACAAGATGCGAAAACATTGATTTGTAAGCTCTTAATAGAAGTAATCCCATAAAGTGTGATAACATTTGTTGGTAAGCTCTTAATAGAAGTAACCCTACAAAGTGTGATAACATTTGTTTGTAAGGCTTGGGGAAAACATTTTTAGTGAAAAATATCAAGAATTAAAAAATATTAAGCGTTGTTTCACTTTTTAAAATAGTATATAAATAATTTTTTTTATCTGGTAATTCTTTCATAAAAAGAAATCTTTTTTTTTTTTTTTTATAAATTTGTCAAAACACATAAACAAAATGCATTTTTACAAAAAATTGTATGAACTCAAATCAAATAGTATCCTTTCGTAATACTTTTTTACTTTGATGTTGAAATATAAAAGCCGCAGAAAGTATTTAATAAAGAGTCTTACTAAAACTAAGCCAGGAAGTATTCATGTCATTTTTTGATAGCTATATTACCCTCTAAATTTTTTGAACAAAGGTTTTTAGAACGAGATAATTCACCAAAAGTTTATCACTCCCGATTTATTGACACAATAAGACAACCGTTTCCACAATCGTTAATAATCAAATAGGTAAAAAAAAAACGTTGAGTTTAGCTTAAAAATGAGTTGTAACAAAACTAAATAAAATATTTTACATACTGGAAAGAAGTTAGCTAAATAAATCTTGCGAAACAATCCTCAAGTTTTTGTTCTCTGGCGTTGAATTTCACGGGGAGATTAAAATATTTGTGAAAAAGTGGTCACAATTTTGCGAATATATACGCAACTACTATAGCAAGTGAATCTTGAAACAGTTCTTACATTTAAGTTAATGTTAATCATATTTATTCAATTATTGTTATGATTTTGGGTTTTGCAAGTTTCTCATTAAAATTACATCACGATTTTTAAAAACATATTACTAACTTTGAAGATCACTACATAACACTTGTTAAATATTATTGAAGAGCAGGTTTGTTGAAAATTCAAGTATTTTTAAAATGTATAGGTGCTTTTTGTGCAGTAAGAGGTCGTAGATTGGTGCTACAACTCTGAATAAGCTGTTGAAGTTCATTACACCTTGCCTAATGAATCTTAAAACTGATTCAAAGTTTAAAAAAATCACAGCTCCTTTGCTTAATATTTGAAAATATCAGTTTTAATGGAAAAAACCTTGTAACTGTTGTAAATTCTCCTGAGAGCAGCCTGGGTACCAGCCTGGGTACGGTTCATTCTCCTGAGAATATATTTATGATTTAACTTTACTTAATTATAACTATTTTATGTTATTGTCAAAAAAATATATTTAACTAATTAATAAACAGTATCTCAATTATATTATAAATTAATTACTGTCTATGACATGGGTGTGTATTTTCACAAATGAATATATCATTTGTATAAATACACACCCATGTTATAGACATGACAGTCTTATGATTATTATAACCAATATTATTACAGTCTCACTTTGGGTAAAAGCCTAACTATAAAACCTTTTTAAAGCTGTAACTTTTAAACAATTGATAATTTTTTTTTATAAATTTATATAAAAAATAACAAAAACGTTATTTTCATCCGTTTTGGGTAAAGATTCCCGAACCTAAAAACGTCCGGTTTTTAGATTTCCCTGTGGGCCCCTAAAACCGTAATTAATTTAGTAATAGAAATTTTGTGATTTTCAAACCTAAATTTAATCTTCGTAATGAATCTAATAATATATTACCTATGTACAGGGTTAAATCACAGAACTAAAAAAAAAACTAAAAAGTGTTAATTTAAAAAAGAAAAAATACTTTTACTTTTAAACAAATTTTAGGTTTAACCAAAACACTTATAAACGCTTGTGAAATAAAAGTAACAATATTTTAAAGAACGATAACTTAAAAAATGTATTCTTTAATTGTTGGACATCTTAAAGGAGATTTTAAAAATCCTGTGACTGATACTAAAGAACTGCTTTGAATTGAAATGCTCTACACTGAAAACGAATAACAAATTTCGACTAGACACAGGGCAAAAAAAACGTGGATTTGGATAAAATACCCAGTTATTATTCAAAATATCTGTCTTAGCTTATCGTTTTTAAAAAAGTTTAAAATTATTCTCTTAAAATAGATAAGTAAATTCTGGTTCAAATATTTCAGTACTTATATTAAAAAAAGCATTTAACAGAGTGTTTTTTTACAAAAAATTTTCCTCAAGTTTTTGACGAGACAACATATGTATATATATATATATATGTATATATATATATATATATATATATATATATATATATATATATATATATATATATATATATATATATATATATATGTATGTATATATATATATATATATATATATATATATATATATATACATACACATATATGTATGTATATATATATACATACACATATATATACATACACACATATATATATATATATATATATATATATATATATATATATATATATATATATATATATATATATATATATATATATATATATATATATATATATATATATATATATATATATATATATATATATATATATATAAGGGAAAGCGGGGCAACATGGCGAACGTTTTGAAAGCCTTGAGTTATTGCAAATCTATCAGCTGTGAAGCAATAGTACTTTCTCAGTATGTTTATGTTATCAAAGTCCTTCATTGTCTGAATAAATTTTCAGTTTGCAAATATAACAATTTGAAATAAATATTAAAATAAAAAGTTCATAAATTTGTTATCTGATCACGTGACCGGGGCAAGATGACTTATTATGCAATTTTTACCTCCAATTTTATAAAACTTTAAAAAATACCAAAAAATCTAACTAAAGTAACACAAAATAAACACAAATCGCAAAAAACTACTTCTAAAGAAGTTAAACTTGAAGGACACCATCCATTATGAGAAACCGAAAGTGAGGAATTTTTTTTTAAGCGCAAAAAGTAAACTTATGCGTATAAAATTGCGTTGATAATA